ATAATAATACCTTGATATACATTAAAAGTTTTAGTCATTGATTTATTATTGAATCCATAATTTTAAATCCAAATCCTTTCTCACAGACCCTTGAATTCTTTATAATCAGAATCAATTAAAGCATAATATTAATTTAAACAAGTTAATTTACTCATTGATTATATCTAAGATTTTTTTTTTCCTAATTAATATTCTATTATTTATTTAAGAATATAAATCTATTTTGGAATCATTCATTTTTTAAATTAAGTTAATTAGAATAAGTTAGATAGTTAAAATAATGAACAAGATTGAGCTTTTCTTCTCTAAAAATTAAGCATTTATGAAACGATTTAAAGCAGTTAAGTTCTAAATCCAAAATATCCCAAAAGGTATTGATATCATTATAATTATATACTTTATCCAAATAGTAAAAATAAAATTGAAATCACTTTTGACATAAATACAATATATTTAGTGTAATGATTACTTATTAGATTTAATAGAATATCAATATTCCTATTAAAATTTTAATCAGATAACTTACAAATTTAATATCATGTGAATTTATCTTCTTGGGTGAGATAGACATAATTTGAATTTTTTCCAAATTAATTTAAGTTTCAAAACCTTAAGGAATACTTTTAAAAATTTATTCCAGCTATTAGATCTTTTTTATTGGTAGACTATTATTGAAAGTTTTTCTCTAAAAAGATTTCTATGTATATGCATTTTTATGGTTATAATATTAGATAGTAGAGTAGATTTGCTTAAGACCCAAACATTTAATTATACATATTTCATTGTATATCAATGATATTTAGGTATTAGTAATTTTTACTATTATTGATACAAAATAAATTTCATTTTGGCAGTCACTTACTTCTTATAAGAAATATTACTACTTCATAGCAATCTAACTCTCTGCTATAATTTTATTCTTATGTATATATAATAAATATTTTCAATAATTTGGAATCTATATTATGTTTAGTAATTGATCCAAAATATATTCTTTCTAAACTTACAAAACTAAAAATTATCATTCAATGCACAAACAATCACCTTAAATCCTATAAATTTCCTTCATAATTTGTGATGTTCTCCTATCTTTAATTTTTATTAAAATCTCAAAAGGCAAATAATTCAAAAACAATGCATTATGACTTTATTCATCTTTTTAGCATCAAGCAAGAATAAATTTATCATATTCACTTAAGCTCTTTCATTATTTAGAAAGAAGATTATTACTGCTTTATTTATTACAAATTTCAATTTACTTTTTAGGAATCTAATCTGAAATAATATCATTATGAATTATTAAATATTTTAATAAAGAAATGCTTAGACATAACCTTATAATTGCTTACTTCAGATGAGTTTAATCAGGATTAAATTAAATTGATCCTTAAAATGAAAGTAGGGATGCCTTCATGTTAAAAATATCATTCATAGGAAATCAATAAAATTTTAGTGATTTAGAGACACAGGAAATATTTCCTAAAAGAATGACAGTTAATTGGATAAAAGTAAGTATTATGGAGCTAGGGTGTACATCTAATAACTTTTAGAGAAATTTATAATCAAATTGGAATCCAAGGAAGCATTATTGATTATTAGAAAATGGATGGCAAAGCAACAGAGTTGAAATTTTCTTTTAATATTTATTTAGTGTTTTGATTAACATACCCTTTTTTAAAAACGGTGATGTAGTCTATAACTAAGGCTAGCCATTATAAAAAGAGGCTTTAATTTTATTTTAACTTTAAAATTATCATCAATAATTTGAATATTATATTAAAATATGGGACTCAATTAAATATATGAAGTATATAATAAAATAATTCTATTTTAGTAATAAATAAATCCGAAATAATCATCTAAATTAATTAAAAAAAGTCTATCTAAATATGCTATATATCATAATTCTGATTTAAATGCTAAAAGATAATCCTAATCGGGGAATTTCAAAATATAGAAAATCTATTTAAACATATTTTAATTCAATTATGGTGGAGAATCAATAATAAACAAGTATAAAAGCAAATTGAAAATTCTTAATTCATTTATTTTTTTTTGTATCATATTTAATTAAAGTCTTAAAATTTAACAATATTAAAACTTTTAGGGATATAAACATTATTAAATTATAATACAACTTAATATAGCATTAAATATAAATTAAATAATAATTTAATGGTTAAATCAATCAAATAACTATCGATAAAGGATTTAAAATCAATGTTATACTAGAATCATAAATATAAAAATATTCTTTTAAAATGTAGTAAAATAATTCTTGAGAAAATGGAATACTCCTTTGTTGCATCTAAGTTTATTAAAAACCAATAAGAAGAGCGGATTAAGAGGAGAATTTATATATTTTATTCAATCTTTTAAAAATAAGCTTTTTCATTTATTCATAAACATTTATGTTTTTTTGTGTAAATTAAGTGTAAATTTTTTTAAACATTTGTATAATTCTTAAGAAAAAGGATTAGATACTATAATGAGTCTTAAAAGAACTAAGAGAATATAAATTAAGGTATTAATATATATATTAAAAATAAAATATTAAAAAAATGATTTAGTAATTAAATTTTAACTTAAAATGTGAATAAGATGATCATAAGGATGAGATAGAATCAGTTTGTTACAACCAGTATTGTACAGAATTTAGATTGAATTGCTTTTAATGTCTTAATAAATGTAATATCCATCGCGGCCACCGCGAAGAAAATAAAAAGATTAATACTTTGATGAATTTTAATGATAGTCAAAATATAGAATGTGATAAATTGATTAATACTCTTAATACATATGTAGACAGTTTGAATAAATCATTTACTTTATATAAAATGGGAATCAGAAATAAATATTCTTTATAAAAGGAAAAATTAGTAAAATTGAATTCATTGTAAATAAATGATTATTTAAATTCAACCGTCAAATTAATTGAATATAAATAATCAATTACTGAAATCCTTTAAGAACCTATTAAGAAATTAACTGATTCATTTAAAAATTTATACTAATAATTATAATTATCATAATTTAATTATTATTAGATTGATGATAATTCTATTAAATTATCTAAAGAGTTATATGATAAAGGTAATCATATTGTAATAATCCTTAGGTTATGATTTATATTGGAAATAAAAATATGACAAGGCGATATAACTATTTGATGAATCAATACTTTAAAATTAGAATAACTATTAATCTCTATGGTGTAAAGGTGAAATTATGATAAATTAATAGGTGCATCTTTAAGATTCTTAAATAAATATGAGGATGCAATTATTTAGTTGGACAAAGCATTAGCTATTGAACCTAGGCATCTTGGTTCTTTATTTGAGAAAGGTAAATTTAATTATAATTATTTTAATTGGTGTATGTTTAAGATTCTTAAACAAAAATGAGGATGCAATTATTTGGTTGGACAAAGCATTAGCTATTGATCCTAAGCATATTGGTTCCTTATTTGATAAAGGTAAATTGAATAATAATTATATAAATAGGTACATGCTTAAGAAAGTTAAATCAATATGAAGATGCAATCAATTGGTTGGAAAAAGTATTAGCTATTGAACCTAAGCATTGTAATTCCTTAAGTGAAAAAGGTAACTGAATAATAAATATATGAATAGGTTAATGCTTAAGATTGCTGAAAAAATATAATGAATCTTTAGAATTACTTGATTAAGCACTGTCCATCAATTCGCAACATACGTTTTCCCTTAATCGCAAAGGTATCATAACATAGTATTTGTTTTAGGAGATTGTTTAAGAGATACATAACAATATAAAGAAGCTCTAATTTATTATGAGAAATCATTAAAGATTGAGCCAAATAATCAATATACAATAACCTAAAAATGTATGCTTTATTTATAAAATTAGAATTTTGCTAAAAGAGATAGAATAAATGAATATTAAAAATCAAAAATAATTATATCATAATATTGTTTCGTCTTAAAATTTTTATAATTGATTTATGCTTGTATTCTACTTTTCATGTATTCACTTTAATCAAGTAATAAATTATTATTAAAAAATG